CCAGGATAATGAATATAAGTGTTTCTCCCAAGGTAATGAATACAGGTGTTCCACTCAATGTTATAAATACTGTTTGTTCCTCCCAAGGACATTCTTCCACTTGCTTGCAAAGACTGAACATGGGTATCAACACACATGATAGCTAAGTTTGGATATTCACCTTGAAGTCACAACATCACTGTACAAGATTTTAGGTAATAAACTTGTTTTTATTTATTTACTTTATTCAGCCCTTCTACAATCATTCATATAGATTTATATAATACGAGGATAATGTGTTAAAACTTCCAAGAAAGCTTTAAAGATGTAGATGAGTAGCACATTTTGTACTTCTCTCAGTATAGCATATACTGTGATAGACTCAATCCTCCATATTATTAACAAAACACAGTATTTCATGGGTAGAATACTTAGTTAGGGGGGCAGATGCAAGTGAAAATAAAGAAGCTGTAGAGATCACTGCTTACTAAGTTACTAGTGTCAGTCTTACAACAGAAAGGGGTAGGGGTGAGAGAATGTTATAATCAATGTGGCAGTTTCTGATTAAATGAATAGTCATGGAAAGTAAGGATTGATGTTAAATTATAGTTATTCAAGCCCAGTTTATGTATTTACGAAACTTACAAAGACAGTATGGATATCGGTACTATAAAACAAAGCCAACACATTTTTCTCTGCACATAAACTAAAATATAAGGAACCAGACCAGCATGCGTGGTAGTCACTAAGCAAGAAGAGAACTTGAAACTGAGCTTTTGTTGATTACTATAGTAACCCCACCAAATACATAGTTGTACCTTTAACAAAGCAACATCTATGCATTTTCTCTACAGTAGCTATAAATAATTGTGTAAAGCACCACAGCGTTGTGGTTGACATGGATGTAACATGCAACTATATAGCAAGTTTACAGGAAATTTGAAAGTGTAAAACTGTAGCACTTTGAAACTTTATATAAAATGCGTACAGAATTGAGACATTTCAATTACCTAATAAGGAAGAAAGCAGAATAATATTTGTTCTATTAGCAGCGCATACACAAATGACAGAGGTGTAGTTTAATGATTCAGCATACAATCAATACAATTCTGGGTTTTCACACACTTATAGAGCAAATATCGTATTGAGGTAAAGTGATGTATACATGATGTTTACAGACGTCAAATGATTACACAATATAACAAAAGTTGTTTTTCTTTTTTTTTTGAAAAGCAAATAAGTTAACAAGCATAAAAGCAACCACGATTGGAACGCTGCAAGTTGTATCTTAGGATGGCAGAAAAAATGCCCACAGAGAATACAAAATTTGAGATTAATATTAAAATTTGTAAACTTTTTCACTGTGAACTTGTTCAAATAGATAACAGCCCAGCCTGATTACACTTGTAATATAAATCTAAAATTGTATTTTAGGTTTATTGAAGACCAAATGATCAGTTTCTTGTTCTATCCCAGTGATACCTGCTGAACTGGAAATCAATTAGAATGTTGAACGACATGGGTTATCAGGGGACGATGTTTATAGCAATATTAAATTCAAAAGATCAGTTTCCTTTGCATTGTGCGTGACGAGACAGAGAATGAATCAGTTTTGCGATATAATCATTCTCACCTACACAAACATATAATTGTCTGTCCGCCATGAGCGGGGCAAATAGCATGAGAGAACCTAATCAGCCATCAAATATATGCTCTAGGAAAAACAAAATAAGGAATTCTTAATTTTTAAGCAGCAATCACTGTGTATAACGCATACAAATTTTGAGTCAACAATGTACATTGTTTACATTGTACATGTCGAGTGGCATGAGACATGCTATCAAGCATCATGTGCCATGATGGCTGTAGCATTACAATTGCGTCATCTTTGTACAAGATTTACCTTGTAGCAACAATACCTAAAGGACAGTGCCATATAGCGGAGAATCAGTTAATTGTATGTACTTAAAACTTGGCACTAACAGACATAA